TTGTAATAAGCTTTCTTATAAATACAAACGAAACTCCCTTTTTCGGGAAATCAAATATTCACCCTACAAAAGAATTGGTGAGTTCTTACAGTAACCAACTGTTCTGCTTCAGGAGGCTATGTCAGTGATACTACCAAAGCTACCAGTGCATCTGCATATGCGTTCTAAAGACGCAGAATGTACTCGATAAAGAATTATTCAAATGAGTCTGTCATCTCAATGGCCACCTGGTGGTAAGGATTAGGTCCTGGTTCCTGACTTTATACTTTCCTCGAATTTGGTTGACTATCAATTAAGAATCACCAAAAGCTTCGAGATACTCGATCCCAAGTTCTTTGGTGAAATTGATTCTAATGAGCAGTGCGTTGTATTCGGCTACATTATTGGAACACGGCTCGGTGAGTGAAAAGGTTCGAGGCAGCACATGTTTCTCCGAGGAAATTAGGACGACTCCGACTCCTGAGGATATTTTCGAACATCTGGGAGTGCTCACCACATTGGTTGCTTGGGAAGTATTGTTGAAGTATAATTACTACACCTACTGGTGGGAGGTAGTATTAACTTCATAGGTTTCATCCGACAAATCTTCATATAATTCAGCTATATCCTTCATAGTGTTAGCCGCTAGAAGATCACAAATTGCTTGCCCTTTCACTGACTTTTGTTGTTTGAAGTGCAGGTCGTATTAGGACAAGAGTAGGGCCCATCTCACTAACCACCAATTCATCAAAGCTGGTTCCATCATGAATACACGGACTAGGTTGACATTGGAAATGACATAGATCGTATGTCCAATCAGGTAGTATCACATTTTCTGAATTGCCAATACTAAAGTGAGGCACTCTTTCTCGATCATCGGATATCGAGACTCGGCACCTACCAAAGTTCGACTCAGATAATATATTACCTATTCGTGGTCGTTATCATCATCTTGTGTGAGTAAAGTACTTAACGAGTGGTTCATTGCTTTGATGTAAATCAAGAACGGTTTATCCGACTTCGGTACAACGAGGATAGGAGGATTCGCCAGATATGCTTTGATATCTTCGAAGGCGT